ATTACAGGCACGCGTCACCATTCCCAGCTAATTTTTGTATTTTTAGTAGAGACGGGGTTTCACCATGTTGACCAGGATGGTCTCGAGCTCTTGACCTCGTGATCCACCCGCCTCGGCCTCCCAAAGTGCTGGGCATTAGTACCATTTTTATGAACAAGGTCAATGATAATCAAATAAAGAATTTTTCTCAAGGTCCCATACCTAGTAAGTGGCAGAACCAGGACACTAACATGTCTTTTGACTTCTACTTGATGCTGGTAAAACTATGCACCAGCTGCTTCTAGTGAAAAGTCAGGCCCCTCCCATTTATTTCCACAGTCATGACATTAGAATACACCATTATTAAGCTTCTGCTGCTGTAAGTGTGGCTGCCACAAAAGTACTCAGTGTGTTCTCTTTTTGAAAACGACTTCCACTTATTACAACACTAAACTAAATTGTTATTACAGTCCCACATAGTTACTACGCCCCATGTTCTTTTTCCTAACCTAAAATGTTCACTGTAGATCTATATTGGACAATCAAAATACAGAAACATACTAAAATCCCAGCATTATCTTTTCAAGTTCCAATTTCAATAAAAACTACAATTGAAATTGTTTCTAACTCTCCTTATGATTTTGCACATCCAGATATACCACAGAATGATACATTTGGCCACAGCTTAACCTGAAATACTTCTTTATATTTTAGATAAATTTATTTTCAGAACACAAAGTGATTTTTCACAAATTCTAAACTTTATTTTTCTAGCACTATACTACACTTGCTTCTTAAATGAATCATGCAAATTAGCAGAATTATACTATGAAGCAGTAATTTACTTAGCACATAATTATTAATTATGAACTAAAAAACATGGAAAAAATTCATTATGGGCATATGCAGGAGGCAACTATTTGAACAAATCACTTCTTGTAGGTGAAAATGAGAATTTAGTTTATAGTAGTATCTTATTTAAGTGGGCTGGCATTGCAAATAGTATTAGTTGCTTTTGTTTGTCAAAAAGATAAAGATAAATGTATAAATTCAGCTCTTTCACAGAAAAGGGGAAAAAAACAATAGTAAATCTTGTGGGCAATAATTGTTGAATGAAAGCCACACATAGATAACTAAAGAGAAAACTGTAACTAAATATGCCGACTATGAAGACAGAGACGGACTGAAAGACCAGTCACCAAAGAAATGAGGTCCATGACAAAAAAATTAGGTGGGGATAAATCATTTTTAAAATGTGAGATGAAGGGAGAAACAACAAAGAAGCCTAACTAGTCAATTTAATATGAGCGTCAGCCAAGAAAGAAAAGAAACAACATGACATACAATTAAGTATATGGAGAAATAGATATGTAACTGAGCCTTTTGTTCCTTTATAGCCCTAACAATACAGGTTAATACTTATGCTACAATTAGTTTTTTAAAAATATTTCTGTGATACATAGTTTAATTTTATTACTCTAAAACATTCAATTAGCTAACCATGGTCATCTACCACTACCTGAAAGACTGTTATTATTACAGAGAGGGAAAACTTTCCATCAACTTTCCACCTAGAGAAAGAATTAGCCACCAGAATTCTAAAGAGTAATGCATGGCTTATAAAGGCGTATTTATTAGAGCATGAGTCGGGGCTAATAAAATGTTTAAGAAATTTTAGTTCCCCTTCCACACTCTTCATGGAAACCTTTGTCGTCTTCTTTCCTTCCCTTTTCTCTACCTAAACAAAATCACCTTTCTGCCGCAAACACACACACACAAATTTTAGTCTGAAATCATAATCTAAAATTCCAGTTGAATTATACTAGAAAATATATTTTAACCTTCTTTGCTATTAATGATCTATTTCTAATTTATTTCATTTTTATTTATGGCATAATTTCTCAAGACATCAAAACATATACATCCTTAAACATTAAAAAATACAAATGTAAGCAGTATTTTTAACTGTGGTATTTAATCAATAGATACATTATGCATATTACTTATAAACATTCCATTATATAAAAATTCATTCGTCTATTTATTCAGATTAAACAACTATTAAGGCTGAATGTGGCAACTCATGCCTGTAACCCCAGTACTTTGAGAGGCTAAGGCGGGCATATCATGTGAGTCCAACAGTTAAAGACCACAGTGGGCAACAAGGCAAAACCCCATCTCTGCAAAAAATACAAAACTCAGTCAAGCATGGTGACAAAGGCCTACAGTCCCAGCTACTTGGATGACTGAGGTAGGAGGATCACCTGAGCCCAGGAAGTGGAGACTTCAGTGAGCCGAGATCCCACCACTGCACTCCAGCCTGGGTGACAGAGTGAAACTCTATCTTGAAAAAGCAACAATTACAATGCTTCTTACATGGAAGACTGAATTCCAGGTACTCCAGTTTACATAAAAATGTATCTATGACCTCCAGTAGCTTGTAGTATGCAGGAACTTCAGATGATTAAACAACTAAATATAAAAATTTCTGTAATTTTAAATTTCTGAATATAATATAAAGACTTTGAGTAGATATTTTAAATAAACTACAATGACAAAATTATGGTGTTAAAGTCTTACCATATTGATATTGAGTCTGCTTATATAACTGGTTATTTGCAATAAAATATATGTTATTCATTTGATAAAGTGTTTTACATATACCCTTTATGGACAACTTATAAAACACACAAAACCCATTTGTAATACACATTTTGATAACATAAATTTCTACATTTCTACAATTTATATTTTTGAAGCAGATACAATCTGGTTATGTTGCCTAGGCTGTTCTCAAACTCCTGAGTTCAAGCAATCCTCCTGCCTCAAACCCCCAAGTAGCTGGAACTACAGGTGTACACCACTATACCCAGCTAGTTTTCTACAAATTTTAATATTTTAGTCTCACTACAGAACTAATAATAAAAGTACAAAGAAATCTTTCCTAAAAACTATGTGATACAAAAATAGTAAGTGTCCCAAAAAAGCTATATGCTATGTGCTGTACAGTTTTGCCAATAAAAGGTACCAGGGAGATTCTATGACAACTACAAGTAATTTGATTCACTGAAGAGTTATACAGGCATAAATATTATGAAAGTAACACTAGTATGATTTAGAAGCCAATATTAACATTTATCCAGGGCTGGGCATGGTGGCTCACACCTGTAATCCCAGCACTTTGGGAAGCCAAGGCGGGTGGATCACGAGGTCAAGAGATTGAGACCATCCTGGTCAACATGGTGAAACCCCGTCTCTACTAAAACTACAAAAAATTAGCGGGGCATGGTGGCGCGTGCCTGTAATCCCAGCTACTCAGGAGGCCGAGGCAGGAGAATTGCCTGAACCCGGGAGGCAGAGGTTGTGGTGAGCTGAGATCGCGCCATTGCACTCCAGTCTGGGTAACATGAGCGAAACTCCGTCTCAAAAAACAAACAAAAACAAACAAACAAACAAAAAAATATTTATCCAAATAAACCTTAACCAAATTTTATATTTCCTTTATTGGGGAAAGCATTTTCTAATGTGATTTTCCTGTCATTATGTATTTTCCAGTTCAGTTTCTTTCAGTCCTCACCCCATCACAATGCTTAATCAATCTTTTGTTAACAAGGTTAAACAAATTTTTTTAATCAACTAGCCATGTCTATGCTTTTCTCTGACCAACTTTTTATAACCAACATAAAAAAAGATACACAAACCACTGCTGAATTTTAAAAGTAAATATGAAAAACTTGACCGAGTGAGAAAATTAGTTTTACAAGAGGCCACTTTACCTTGGTGGTAACAGTCAAGTCATCATATCTGGCTTAGGGCATGAATCAACAAACAGTTCATGGAAAATGCGATAGAGCAAAAATATACAATGAAAATGAGAGAGTTCACTTCTTTATAAATTTTTTAACTGCCAGTTCATATTCAGCTTCTCCCTCCAAAAAAACAAAAACACAATCTGGGAAAAGGTCAGCTGTCTGTACATTAAATCATGTTTCTTGATATAATTAAAATATGGCCTCTGTTCTAAAATTAGATTTTGGTTACCTATTTCTGCCTCTACCTGTCTAAATATATACAATATTCAATGAAAACTGACCTTGAGGTGCATAATAGTGACAGCCAACATATACCAGAGCCTGATGATAATTTACCCTGACAAATTATCTATCCTGAAGTTGTACTTAAAATTCAACTAATAAATGACATAACTTTTGTTACCTAAACTGGAAGAAACTTGATGACCTAAAACAAGGTAGAGAGATCCACTGTTTCTCGTCCATTATCTATCTCTGGTTAAAAGACTAATCTCATTGGGGTCAGTTGGGGGGAAATAGGGGAGGGACGGTGGGGGGTGGGAAGCTGGGGAGAGATAGCAAGGGGAGAAATGCCAGATGTAGGTGATGGGGAGGAAGGCAGCAAATCACACTGCCACGTGTGTTCCTATGCAACAATTTTGCATGTTCTTCACATGTACCCCAAAACCTAAAATGCAATAAAACAAATAAATGGGAAAAAAA